GCGGGCGACACCTGGGGCAACTTCCTGGCCCGCCTCTCGCCTCGCACCACGCCTCGACCCCTCCACAGCGCTGCCAGCAGCCCCAACCTCACCACAGCGGCCTCATCATCTTCATCGCCCGCGCTGCCCGTCCAACGCGCGGAAGACGACAAAGCGGCCAAGGCGAGCAGCAGCAGGAGCGCGAAGAAGAACAAACCGACGCGGACGCGCTCCGACGACCGCATCGATTGGGGCAAGGATCGCATCCACCCGTCCACTTCGCCCGCGTCATCGTCGTCGCAGCAGCTTCCCGCAGGCTCGGCCGGAGTGCGGTCGCGCTCCCTCTCGCCGGTCCGGCGGACCGACAAAGTAGACCGCAAGGGAGGCAAGCACAAGAAACGCAACCACTGACGTAACGGCTCACCACGGCAGTACTGTACAGAAAATAAGGACACTTGTAACACTAAATACAATATTTAAGTCACTCATTCACGTGGCGTAGCCCTCTGGTCGCACCTTCCTTCGCAAAGCTTCTGGCGGCGCGCACCTCCTCTAGGCGGGCAACCAGCGCGGCAATGACGTCTGCGCTGGTCCACCGTCCGAGGTGATCCGCGAGCACAGCGCACACAATCAAACACCCTCCTCACGAGAAAAGAGCGAGAGCGAGAGAGAGTCGCGTACCGAGCACCCAGCCCCAATCCTCGGTGCGCCTCACACGGAGAGCTGGGAAGCTGTGTACCTGCACCAGCCTCCTCCCCTCCACGCCGTCGTCTGTGTGTCGTGAATAAATGTTTGCACTCACCTGGGCAATTGCATATGATGGCCACCACGCGAGCAGCAAGTGTAGCTGGTGCCAGCGACTCGGCCCGGCGTATGTATGTACCGCAGTCCGGCATGTCGATGAAGCGCCAGGCGAGGGGCTCCCTGAAGACTCGCTCGTGTTCGAAGCGCCCGTCTGCGTGGAAGTGGGGCAAGAACTGGTGCGCCAGCCGCTGCTCCGCATCAGTGGCCATGCAGCCGGGCCGGAACGCAAACCGCCACCGGTGGCTCGCCAGCTCCTCACCATCGCGCAGCCGCACCCGGTCGCCCTCCCTCCCGGCCGCAAAGTAGGCCCAAGCCCACTCCTTCCACTCCCACCCCTCGTCGCCCAGACCGCCGCCTGAGTGGCACCCGCCGTCGCCGCACTCGCCCAGTGTGGTCGGGGACTGGGGCGCGAGGTGGAGGCAGAGGTGGAGGTGGAGGAGGCGCACGGCGGCGGCTTGCTTGCGGCGGGTTCGCCCAAGGGCGAGGCGCCTCCAAAGCTGGCGGTGTCGGGCGAGGGCGTACCAGGCCCAGCTGCCTGCGAGCGCGCCGGCCAAGAGGTCGCGGCCGTCGAGGAGCCCCCAGGGACCCAGACTACCCACCTCCCCGGGCAGCGCCCCCACCA